TACAACTTCTCTGTTTTGATGGGCAGCTTTATTTTCATTTTTCTTTTTGCCATTTCCACTACCTATTGCTTTCTGTTTTCCTGAGCCTCTGGAACTGTTCTGGGGAATGTAGCTTTTGAAAACATTTCCCAAGCTCCACTCAGTTTGGTCAAAAGACTTGAAAGTGAATAGGTCTTCACAGGAAAAAAAAAAAAAGAAAAAACTTTTTTTCTCCACAAAACCACATAGAAACAAAGCAGAGTAAAAAGAATTCTTGAACTGGTCTGATCCTCCCCATTCTGTAATTAACAATAGTTGATCTGGTGCACAGAAGAAACTCAGTAAATATGGTGGGACTGAACCTAACGGGCCAAATTCATTGGATGACTATTATTCATTTTGACTAAAGTCCCCATCACCTGAAAAATGCAACTCAACTGTCTTGATTTGTTTTATAAGGCAATGTGAGGCTGTTGGTATTGGTGATGCCATGGAGTAAGCCCCCAACTCATGGCGAACCCATGCTGCAGAACAAAATGCTGCCATCCCCATGATTGCTTATGGATCAAACAGTTGTGATCCATAGGGTCTTCATTCACTGATTTTGGGGAGTAGAACACCTGGCCTTTCTTTCAGTCCATCTTAGCCTGAATGCTCTGCTTAAAGCTGTTCACCATCACAACAGCAGGCAAGTATGCTCTGCCAGACAAGTAATACCTGTGAGTGAGGGACAGAGTTCAGGAGGCAAACCCGGGCCTTGCTGCACAGAGGAAGGAAATTCTACCACCAAATCACCACTGCCCTCTAATGTGAAGGTAAGCCTATTATAATCATGAAAGTAGACATAAACTTGTCTAGTGATGTTTTACACTTTCAAATTAAAGCATCTGTTTACAGATCAACTTAGCAAATGATCACTTTACTTATCAGTAAAATCGTTTCAAAGGTCTAATACAGATGAAATTCAACGATGGTCATTAGGACTTTGATCCCAAACTACTTTTGTGGTTTGGGGAAATGACACATTGGTTTTCATTGATTTGACAAGTTTGGCATATCAAATTGAAAGATCCTTTAAGTACTTGTCAATTAGTTTCTTGTGTGTGCAATGCTTTGATTTACCAATGACAGAAATGAAGAGGGTCTCATAAACTGGATACTGCAAATTAATGACTGAAATGAGAGGTCATAAAAAGAGGTTAGGCACATTGTAGATATGCTGAGGCAGTGGTTTTATTCAGTGTGTGGGGACATTTTAAAAGGAAGTTTGATACAGTTAAGTCTTGGGTGGAGATAGTGGTTTTTCAGGAAATAAGAACAACTTACATTCGTCTTGCATGTGGTTGGGTCCACTGTGCGCTACTCAGTCACTTCTGTATCTGGTGTCTGGTCTCTTCCTCTCTGCCTCTAGGTCATGCTGGTCACTGCAGCTAGCCCTTCAAGTCTGGAATGGGCTAGAAGGCAGAAAGGTCCTCAGAGTAGGAATCAGGTTTAGGCTGAAGTAAGAAACTCCCTTGAGTTTAAAGCTCAAAGCACTTTAATTCAATCCAGCTTTTATTAGATGGTTCTGTTTTGAGATATTAGGCATTGGCCCAGGCAACAATTGGGTATTACTTTGATTGCCTTTTAAGTTATTGTTTGCTTTGTGAGCTGTTCCCTCAGAAAGCTGGAGAGGAAGACTTGGGAAATTCCTGGGTCCTTCAGCCAAATGCCATCAATGCCACACACACAGAAAGCCATCTTTACTTGTAACATGCACTTCAACATCTGTGTCCCTTTCCTTTCTCAGAGATTTTGTCAGCTGTCATGCGGATACCAGTCTTTCTCCTATCTTAGATGAAATCAGGATAATCAAGGTACCCTGGAGATCTTCTACAAAAGGGTAAGTCCAAGGAAAACTCTGAAAACCAGATAAGTTTGCATATCTAGTTTGGGAAACAATTGCATCCCAGGTTTGTTTCTAGGACACGAATTATTAAGATCCTGCTGTGACCATTGAGATGTGTGTGGAGATAGCCCCAGTTGAAAGGGCCTCTAGGGGTGAGGGAGGTATCACTCTCCAAGGCTGTACGTGGCCAATAATCTTCTGTAACACCATAATTCAAATACATCCTTTTTTTCTTTGTTCTTCCTTATTTACTGTCTATCTCTTGAACACATGAGACCATTGAAAATACCCTGGCTTAGGTTGCACACTTTAGTCCTCAAAGTGATGTATTTGCTTTTTAATACTTAGAAGAGGTCTTTTCCAGAAGATTTGCCCAATGCAATGTGTTGTTTGATTCCTTGACTGCTGCATGTGTGGGCATTGATAGTAGATCCAAGTAAAATGAAATCCTTGCCAACTTCAATCTTTTCTCCATTTATCATGATGTTCTTTATTGGTCCAGTTGTTTTCTTTGTATTGAAATGTACTCCATACTGAAGGTTGTAGTCTTTGATCTTCACCAATACTGTATTTTTGTGCAAATAGCATACATGTTGTATGGATTTTTTTGTAACCTGCATAGTCCCCTCGTGCATTAGATTCCTTTGTGTTCTCTGCCTGTTATATGCATGTGGTATTATCTACATAGGTGTGCTGTGTGGGGAAACTATGGTAAGTGCTTCAAGTCCTGTTTGCTTTCAGCAAGCACGGTTGTGCCATCTGCACATCGCAGGTTGTTAGTAAGTCTTCCTCTAATCCTGATGCCCCTTTCTTCTTCACGTTTTACAACTTCTCAGATAATTTGTTGAAGAAACAGATTGAATGAGGAAGCGTGGTAGTGGTGATGGTGGTGGTTGTGTGCCATGGAGTTGGTTACAACTCACTGTGACCATGTATAGGGTTTCCAAGTCTGTAAATCTTTATGGGAACAGAAAATCTCATGCTTCTTCTGTGGAACTACTGGTAGATTCGAACTGCTGACCTTGTGGTTAGCAGTCCAGCTCATACTCCACTGTGCTACCAGAGCTCCTTGAATGAGTTATGCTGTTGTTAGTAAGTGTTATTGAGTCAGTTCCAACTCCTAGTGACTCTGAATAGGGTTTCTGAGGAGTGGCTGGTGAATTTGAACTTCCAACCTTGTGGTTCAAACCAACCTTGGGGTCCAATAGCTCCTGAATGAGTGATAGTGGGTTATTAATTTGTATAATAGGTATAATTTAGAGCAATGTCTAGCATGCCATAGGGAACCAATGCATATTTGATGAATGAGAGAATGAATGCAAAAGGTTTTCTGAACAAGAGAAAGCCAGAATGTCAGTCTTCAAAACCCTCCAATGCTCACTGCCCATGCTCATGCCCCCAGTACACTCTAAGCAGAATCCCAAATCCTTGCAGTGATGAACAAAACCCCATGTGACCTCAGCCTTCATGTCTCTTTCCCTTTCTCATTACATGCGAACACTCACCTCCTGGCTGTTTCCCAAACAAAGCAACCACAGTCCCATCTCAGGATCTTTGCATTTGCTTTGTGCTTTAACAGAAATGCTCTTCCTGGTGACCTTCTCGTAGATTATTTACTCACTGAATTCTGGTCTCCACCTGACTGCCACTTTCTCAGAAAGACTTTCTCTGACTCATCTATCTAAAACACCCCATGCTTACCATTATCCTGGCTTCATGTACTCTGCTTTACTCTTCGCTCTAGCACTTCTGACTACATAGCATTGATTTACTCATTTACTTGTTTAATACCCATCTTCCTACTAGACAATTACTTCCTTGAGGACAGGTCTCACTGCTCTATCTCCGGATTCTTAACCACGGCCAGTAGGTGATCAGTAAGTATTGGTACAACAAATAAATGGTGAGAGACCTTTTGTTACTATCAAATTACTTTTTGGAGTCCTGGTGTGGTGCCGTAGGATAAACACTGGACTGCAAAGTCAGCGGTTCAAACTCACTAGCAGCTACTCGGAAACGCTGTACAGGGTCGCTATGAGTTGGATCTGAATAGATGGCATTTACTTTTTGGACAACACCAAAGTTAGGCTCCAAACTACAGATGTAATAAAAAGTAATTCAAGAGTGAGTAGGAGACAGGCACAGTCAAAGGTGAAAGGACTCATGGTTGCCTTGGCGTTGATTCCAAGTCATTACACCCCCATGTGTGCCATAACAGTTAGAACCGTGCTCCATATGGCTTTCAATGGCTGCTTTTTCAGATGTACATCACCAGGCCTTTCTTCTGAGGTGCATCTGGGTGAACTTGAACCTCCAAATTTTCATTAATTGCTTGTACCACTCAGGGATCCGTCAGCTGTAAATTCTAGCCTGAGTTTTAAATGATCTTGGGAGGGTTGGGGCCTGGGGATTTCCCAGAATTGAGCAAATACATATGTATCCTTTTTTTTTTGGCTACTGTAACAAATGACCAACTTGGTGGTTTAAAACAAGTATAAGTCTCAGACAGTTCTAGATGTCAGAAGTCCAGAAGCAAGGTGTTGGCACAGTCTAGCTCTCTTCCAGCTCTTGTAGAACCTCTTCCACTGATGGCTGTTGACATGCCTTGACTTGTTTCTGTATCAGTGATCTTTTCCTCTGTGTCTCTGTCTGTCTTCTGTTTATCTGTGTTGAATCTCTCTCTGCCTTTCTCTTACAAGGACACTTGTATTTGAATTTAGAGCCCTCCTGGATGAGCCAGGACCATCTCAATGTCCTTATCTCAAGACCCTTAACTTAATTAAATATTCAAATAAGGTAATAGTCACAGTTCTAAGGGCTAGTATATGGATGTGTCTTTTGGGAGCTACCTTTCAACCCAGTATACCATCAATATTTAAAGTTATTTGATTAGAGCCAGAATGCTTGTTTATCAACATAGATGTTCCTCTGATTTCCTGTTGTGCATACAATCCAAAGAAGGTAGTCTTCATTTTATGTGTCTTTACTAAATAATGTTTAATGTCAGTCCTACGTGATCTAATAAAATCATTTATTATGAGGTCTTTTTTTTTTTTTCCTCCCTAGGATCTCTGTCTGCATCAAGATGTTCTGAACAACCACAACTACAATGAGGAATGTCTAATATCATAAAATGACTAAAACCAATTCTAGCATCTTCCAGTTTGCGATCTTCTTTATGTTAACACTTGAGATCAGACTCCAAATATCTGATGACAGTGAACTCGTTATTGACAGATCAAATATGAATCTCACCTATGTTCCCAAAGATCTATCTCTGAAAACAATGGTTCTAGATGTATCACAAAACTTCATTTCTAAACTGCAGACTTCTGACATCTTGTTACTATCAAAGCTGAAGATTTTGATACTTTCTCATAATAGAATTCAGTATCTTAATATCAGTGTTTTCAAATTCAATCAGGAATTGGAATACTTGGATTTGTCCCACAATAAGCTATTGAAGATTTCTTGCCACCCTACTGTAAACTTCAAACACTTAGACCTCTCATTTAATGAATTTGATGTCCTGCCCATCTGCAAGGAGTTTGGCAACCTGTCTCAATTAGAATTTCTGGGATTGAGTGCCACGCAGTTGCAAAGATCCAGTGTGCTACCAATTGCTCATTTGAATATCAGTAAGGTTTTGCTGGTCTTAGGAGACACTTATGGGCAAAATGAAGACCCTATGAGCCTCCAAGACTTAAACACAAAGAGTTTACACATTGTTTTTCCCACCCAAAAGGAATTCCATTTTGTTTTGGGTGTAGCAGTCAACACTGTTGTCAGCTTAGAGCTGTCTAATATCAGGTATGTGCGAGATGATTATGAAAATTCTCATTTCATAAAACTGTTCGAACTTCGACAGAATCAAAGGTTACTGAATCTTACTTTAAACAACATTGAAACAACCTGGCATGCTTTCATTAAGATCCTCCAGTTGGTTTGGCATTCAAGCATAGAGTATTTTTCTATTTCAAATGTGAAACTAATGGGTCAGCTTAACCAGAAATTTAACTATTCTGACACTTCACTGAAGGCTTTGTCTATACACCAAGTGTTCAATGATGTGTCGCATTTTCAACAGAAGTTGATTTATGACATCTTATCAAATATGAATATCTCACATCTCACAGTCACTGGTACACGCATGATGCAGATGCATTGCCCCCAGCAAATTAGCTCATTTGTGTATTTGGATTTTTCCAATAATCTCTTAACAGATGAAATTTTTAAAAATTGTGCAACCTTGACTGTATTGGAGATATTTGTTTTAAAAATGAATAAATTAAAACAACTTGTTAATATAGCTAATATGACCAAGGACATGAAGTCGCTACAAAAATTGGATATTAGCCAGAATTCCCTAAGGTATGAAAATGAAGGAGATTGCTTTTGGACTAAAAGTTTATTAGTTTTAAACATGTCTTCAAACCTACTTACAGACTCTGTTTTCAGATGTTTACCTCTAAGGATCACAGTCCTTGATCTTCATGATAACAGAATAATTAGTATCCCTAAAGATGTCACCAGCCTGGAAGATTTGGAAGAACTAAATATTGCTTTTAATTCATTAACTGACCTTCCTGGATGTGCTACTTTTCACAGCCTTTCTGTCCTGATCATTGACTATAATTTAGTTTCACACCCATCAGCTGATTTCTTCTATAGCTGTCAGAATATTACATCAATAAAAGCAGGGAACAATCCATTCCAATGTTCGTGTGAACTAAGAGAATTTATCAGAAATATAAGTCAGATATCAAGGGATGTGGTGGAGGACTGGCCTGAATCTTATAAGTGTGCCTACCCAGAAAGCTCTAAGGGGACCGCACTCAAGGACTTCCACATGTCTCCATTATCCTGCAACACAGCTCTGCTGATTGCCACCATTGGGCTCACCATGTTGCTGGTGGTGGTTATTGTGACCTTCCTGTGCATCTATATGGATCTGCCCTGGTATCTCAGGATGGTGTGTCAGTGGACTCAGACTCGGCACAGAGCTAAGAATGTACCTTTAGAAGAACTCCAAAGAAATCTCCAGTTCCATGCTTTTATTTCATATAGTGGCCATGATTCTGCCTGGGTGAAGAATGAATTACTACCAAACCTAGAAAGAGAAGACATTCAGATTTGTCTCCATGAGAGAAACTTTGTGGCTGGCAAAAGCATCATTGAAAACATCATCAGCTGCATTGAGAAAAGTTACAAGTCCATCTTTGTTTTGTCTCCCAACTTTATTCAGAGTGACTGGTGCCATTATGAACTCTACTTTGCCCACCACAAACTCTTTCACGAAGCTTCTGATAACTTAATCCTGATCTTGCTAGAACCCATTCCACAGTACTCCATTCCTAGCAATTATCACAAGTTAAAAACTCTCATGGCAAGGAGGACCTATTTGGAATGGCCCAAGGAAAAGAACAAGCACGGACTTTTTTGGGCTAACCTTAGAGTTGCCATTAATGTAAAGCTGGTAGAACAAAAGAAATAGATCACATGTGAATTTAAAAAAAAATAAAGAACTGTTCCAATGCTGATGCTTTTGGAAGCTCCAACAAGTTTAGTTTATTTTCCATCCATACTAATCTGAACAAAATTTTGGAATGTGTGATGTAGATAAAAATGTATGCTCATAAAAGTTTACCATTTATGTTGTTGTTGTTGAGTGTCGTTAAGTGGTTTCCAACTCAGAATGACCCTTTACTGGCTTTGTACAGGTGGTACAAACTCAATGAAATTATATATTTTTTAATTTTAAAAGCTAGTTAATTTGAACACATGATGGATTCACCTATTTATTTGCTAGGCCTGAGTTAGTTGAATTTACTATGTAAGCAAGAGGATGTCTGTTTAAACAACTTCAGTGATATATGGTCTTGTGCATCAAGGTCAATATTAGAACTCCCCATGCTTTTGTGCCTATAGCTGGGTTTCTATATAGCAATGCTGTCGGACTTACCACGATGTGCTGAAGACTGCTCATTGTCAATGCTAGAGAATCTATGCCTGAAGGACTTTCTTTCTAGCCACAAGAACACAGCTGACCTGCATGTAAGATAATTCTAATGTGCTAGAGTTAATGTCCTTGGAAAAAATCCTCAATGTCAGAAAGGGAATTGGTGAATAAATATTGCAAGTTTTTCACCTTTTAAAAATATATAAGTCTGGAATGTATTCTATACTCTCCCTGGGTTCCCTAATAGGAAAGTTCTGGATGTTCACAGTAACAATAGCTTGTGACAAGAATCCTTTTCTTGTCCCATGTCTTCATTTCCATATGAGCGTTTCCTGGAATCACTTCTGAAATACATGATGTGAAGGTACCTGCCTCAGTGCCTGCTGCTGAGAAAGGCAAGACCAAGACAGTGTTCCAGCTCAGTCCAAGTGGAAATTTTGGATCTGGTCTTCTATGGCTCTTTTTATTGTTAGGAAAAATACAGTTGATATATAGTACTTCTATATAGGATAAGCACTGGACTGCTAACTGAAAGGTCAGTGGTTCAATCCCACCAGCTGTTCCTACCCAGGGTCACTATAAGTCAGAACTGACTTGCCAGCACTTAACAACAACAACATAATACTTCTATCTATAAAATTCATCTCTTTGGGGAACTAGTAAGTAGAGATGGCAATATTGGAGCAGTGCAAGAAATAGGCTATATCAGATAGTTTTCACACTCTTCAACAACTTCACAGTCTGTCTTTTGCTCTAGACTTTGCTGAGACAGCCAGCCAGTGGCAGGAATAGCCCCAAGACACGTCACCTAGTTCCACCATTTGTCTTTTACTTTGTACCTCGTGGCTTCACAATTACTGCTACAAGATACGCTTGTAGAAACTATTTTGGTGTATGCGCAAACTTGGGAGTTCCAGGGGCATTCCCAGAGCTAGTCTTAAGCACAAGGGGATGAGAGTCAGTGGATGGATAAATGCTCTTCAGTTCTTGGAGTCCTGATGTGGTGTTATTGGGAATTCACACTTACCAGCCACCCCTTGGAAACTCTATACAGGGTTGCAATGAGTCAGAACTGACTTGGCACTTGTTGTTGTTGTTGTTAAGTGCCGTCGAGTCGGTTCTGACCCATAGTGATCCTGTACAGGGTTTTCGAGGGTGGAAATCTTCACGGGAGTAGAAAGCCTCATCTTTCTCCTGTGGAGCAGCTGGTAGTTTCGAACCGCTGACCTTAAGGTTCGCAGCCCGATTCGTAACCACTACGCTACCAGAGCTCCTTACCCACCAGCAATTCTTGAACCAAAAAAAATGAGGCATAAGCTCTACCATTCCTCAAAGGGTCCTTAACATGACCAGCTAATAACTTGCCCATGGGTTAGTTTTCCCTCCTCCCTGTTTCCTTCTTACCAGCCCACCAGCATCCCCACCACCACTTTGAGCTCTGAGTTTAGTTCTCCAAACTATTTATACACGAAGTCTTGCCTAAATCTCCACTTTTAGGGGAAACCCAAATAAGAAAAGCATAAACAATTAGTTTCTTGCTCTAAGGAGCTTGCAGTCAATCAGAGGAGATAACATGCCTGCAAATAATCAAAATGAAAATAAACTACAATAGAAGTTCAGCAATCACTTAGATTGAGAAAAAGAATTTTCATGAGAGTGATGTTTTTTCCACTGGGCCTTGAGGGAAGATCTTATGATTTTTCAATGTGTGATGATGACAAACAGAAAGACCATTCTAAGCAGATAAGGAAAGTAAAACTAGGAATACCCTAGACTTCTTCTGAGACTGGTCTCCCAACTTGACTGAGCAATGAAGTTTGTGGAAAATGACAACATAACATAATGGATAGCTAGATTGGGACCATATTGTCAGATACCTTGAAAGTCAAACTAAGAAGTTAGAACTTTGGTACATAGGGCAGTTATCATTTAAACTTCTATGGGTAAAAAGTCACTAGGTGTAGCAAATGGTTGTGCTCAACGCTAACATAAAGGTTGGTGGAAACAACTCATCCAACTGTACTTCAAAAGAATAGACCTGGTGACCTGCTGCCATTTACACTACAGCTAAGGAAACTCAATGAAGAAGTTCTACTCTGGAACACAGGGCGTCACCATGAGTTGGGATTGATTTGAGAAAAATTGCAATAGCACAAGGTAAACATCTCCTAAACTTTGATGGCGGCTAATGCTGTTAAATAAGGAGCTCTGGTAGCGTAGTGGTTATGAATTGGGCTGCGAACCTTAAGGTTAGCAGTTCGAAACTACCAGCCACTCCGCGGGAGAAAGATGAAGCTTTCTACTCCCGTAAAGATTTACACCCTCGGAAACCCTGTACAGGGTCGCTATGTGTCGGAACCGACTCGACGGCACTTAACAACAACAACAACAATGCTGTTAAATACTGTTATTGTTATAAGGGCTATTGAGTAGGTTCCAACTCATAACAACCCTACGGTACAACAAAATGAAATGATGCTTGGTCCCGAGCCATTCTCAAAACCATTGTTATATTTGAGCCCTTTGTTGTGGCTACAGTGTCAATTCATCTCATTGAGGGTCTTCCTATTTTCCCCTGGGAGCCAATAGTCACAAGCAAATTCAAATGCTAATTGAAAGCTAAAATGGGCTATAAGCCCTGATTTCTTAATACAAGTTGCAAAAGTCAGAAGGGATTTTCCTGTTTTCTCCATGATGATTGAACTTCTAGGTTTCATATCAAGCTTAGCTTGATATAACTGCTTAGCAGCAGCACATATTACCTACAAAACCCTATAAGTGTGTGTGTGTGTATGTATGGATATAAATATGGAGAGAGAGGAAAAGAGAGAATCATAAAGTCATTAAAGTTTATATTAATAAACTTAAGATTTCGAGAAATTGTATATAATGCTCTGATTTCATAGTAGTTTTAAGGAGGTTGCTAGAATGCGGAAATTGTATTGGTGGTTTTTTGCCAAAGAAATCAAGGTTTGGAAAGGAAAATTTCATGAAAGTAGGGACAAATAATAGTTTAAAATTAGGAAATGTATGCATCAGGGTTATATTTTTTTACCATAATTATTCATTTTGTGTACTGATCAAATCACCCCTGAAGCTAGACTATATGAAGAAGAACGTGCCATCAGGATTAGAAGAAGATTCATTAACAACCTGAGATATGCAGAAGACACACTTTGCTTGCTGTAAGTGAAGAAGACTTGAAGCATTTACTGATGAAGTTCAAAACTGCAGCCTTTAGTATGGATTATCTGTCAACATAAAGAATACAAATATCCTCACATCTGGACCAATTAGCAACATTTAGATAAATGAAGAAAATATTGAAGTTGTCAAGGATTTCATTTTACTCGGACCCACAATTCATACTCAAGGAAGCAACAGTCAAGAAAGCACACAACGTATTTATTGCATTGGGCAGATCTGCTACAAATGACCTCTTGGAAGTGTGAAAAGGCAAAAATGTAACTTTGAGGAATAATTTATGCTTGACCCAAGTCATGATATTTTCAATTTTTCATGCATGTAAAAATTGGACAATGAATAAGGAAAACTGGAAAAGAATTAATGCATTTGAATTTTGATATTGGCAAAGAATATTGAATGAGATGGGCTGCTAGAAGAACATTTCCTGATTTTAAACCATGCAGTGTCCCC